TTGGAAACAGAGAGACACCAAAAACAGCCGAGATACACGAATGTAAAAAAACTCTAATAGCTGCTGAGAGAAAAAAAACAAAGCAGTGGTCCTACAATGGATTCCTGATCTCTGTGGCATTAAAGGCAATGAGCTTGGTGACGCACTTGCAAAGAAGGTGGCAACAATTTTGCAAGGCATAGGCCGACCAATGTCTTCCCACACAATGAAGACTTTAATCAGGAGAGAATTCAAGACCTCAAGGTGCAACGAACTTAAAGTTCGAACAAAGGAAAAACAGTGGACAGTGGCACTCTACCACATAGCCGACTGGCCAAGAATCGAAGGCGTTGCTGAGTTTAGACTACGTACCGGACACGATTGCCTGGCAAAGCACCTTCACAGATTAGGAGTATACACTCAACCAACATGCCCCCTATGTGGCCTACAGGAGGAAATGGAGAAGACCCACCTGATTCGGTGTCCAGGACTAAAGACAATGACGAAAACCCAGAGATACTGGGAACCCAGAAGACAGCTAATGAACTGGTATTGGTTAAATGCTATATATGTTCCCCCCCCCCCCTTGTGAAAGCTGAGGTCAAAGTTGAAAGGCTAATGATAAATATCCTAAAGCCTGCCATTTGAAAAAATATTTTAAGTATATATGGGCGTGCGCACTGATAATAAATCCTCTAACTTGAATCGACCTTTTGCAGATCCCTACTTTATATTTATCTTCTTTTACACGGAGTGGCATTTCGATCATAAAATGTCCTCAAAAATCTGAATTATTTTTTTTAAATGAAAGAAAAGTTAGTACAGAAACTTTTTGAAAGAATACTGACAATCTTGGAAACATCTACATCTACAAAGCTATTACCAATCTTTACTGCAAGGTAAAATTTCAAAATCGTATAAATTTCCGAAAAAAATGATCACATTGCAATATTGGAGAGAATAAAATAATTAGTAAATAACTAAATAAATTCATATTCTTTCTACATCCTTATATGTAGTTTCACATATCTCTGAATTGTTTTCGAATGTATTTTGTGGGTGGCGATTAGCATAATCAGGAAGCGATGAAGAAACTAGAAATCTTTATTAATCTGATAGCATTTAAATTAAAGATTATTTAAATTTTAACATATTAAACATGAGGGAACTGAAAATAAGTAATTATCATTGTGACAACAACAATATTAACCAATATTTGCATAGTTTTTGACATTCTGACAGAATGGCTGCAAATACTGGGAGAAGAGACTTGTCAGTTCTCCACTGTTGTAAAATATGGCTTTTCAATGCTAGGTCTACTTCTGTTGCTATCATATTAACACCTCATAGATAATGCCAAGTAGAAAGTCACTCGAATTCAAGGCAGATGCTCACTTACGCCAAAGTCGTTTTATTAACTTTTAAAAATGACTATTTTTAGGAAAATATAATTAATTTGTCTAGACTAACTGCCCAGGTGCTCCAGCTAATATGCACCCACGTACCAACAGGCCATCTCGTGCGTATTGTTCGGCTTTTTTGAATGAACAATATATTGAAGGCAAAAGCGCATAAACGGAAAACTCTAAACCCACTTTTCCAACAGTGAATTTTAAATTTTAAAAGTATGCTTGTTAAATTTATCGAATCGACAATAACTTATTAATACACTGCAAAATGGGGTTAGCAATTAAAATCACATTGTATCAATACTTAATGCAATTTAATTAATAAGATAAATTGATTTTATTTGATAATTAAATTGAATTTGTGCAATTCCTCTTTTGGCTTCTACATGATAACCTTGAAATTAAACGGACTCACAAACTATCAGAATCAAGTCTTATTTCATGATCTAATAGGATGTTCAACGTTACTCCTTGTAATTTATTTCTAAAAATATATATTAGATATATATCATATATCATATTGCCTGCTCATTCTCTGATAGCCCAAAATAATTAGATGAAACCACTTAATGTGATTCTGGCATTACAGTGCCCAATAGAACTAACGTGAAGCCAGTGACTGTACCTGATTTATCGACTAATTTGGTTCACCTATTAGAAATGGTGTTGAATGAAAAGTGGAGCATATTCTCATATCGTTCTCTGTCGTTTCATGTTTATTTTGAATAGCATAAAATTGTACTCAAAATTTACTCGAAGACATGTCCACTTAAGGTGTGTTAAGTGAAGTTTGCTCAAATGAGAATTCACGCCTTACACATCAAAAATAGGACATTTGCCACGTTGTTTGGTGTGGTGGAAAAGCCACGTCAATTTATAGACCAGATATTTTGATGGATATATGTGATGTACTTGTTGAACGATTCCGATTCGAGCCAATGGCTGTTCTCCGCACTTCAAGGTTATTCTATTTGAGGAGGTAATTTCTTAGCATTTACCTTTGGCATCTAATAAATGAAGAATTTATCCCTTGATATTCTAAAGATAGTCAAGTGTATATGGGATATTTCGAACTTAAACCTCCAATTTTGTTCAGAATGTTCGCTTTTCGTTAATTTTCATTCCTTTGAAGGAATGGCACAATCACAATCCTATGGAATAGGATTGTCAATTAAATTAAACTTATTCTTTAAACTTTAAGTGATTTTAATGATAGCCATCTATTTTCTTTTGAACTATCACACTTATTGATTCCTAATATTTACATATTAATGGTTAGTTTTGAACCCGAATTTGTAATTTATTGTTGAATACAACACTAGCTAAAATGCTAGCAACCTCATGGGCCACTCTTGAACATCATCATTCCTAAAAGGCTACAAACTCGATTAACGACGTAATATAGGGTTTTTTTGCTACCTCAAAGCGCTATAATACCTAGAGCATTAAGTTTAGTTTCATTCAAAAATAGACTATAGTTTAAATTTTTATCTACATGGGTTTAGTTCACCACTTAAACCTTAATGACCGAATTATTGATTGAAAAATGCACATAACCGCACTCACGCGTCTCATAGCTGACTGATTCCGCCTTACGCTTGTTTGGTGATATTATGAGAAGGATATCGACTTATTGAACGTGTTTCAACGCCACTGTTAGGAGTCTAGTACTAATGGAGGTTATTATGAAAAAGGACCGTAATGTCTGAGAGGGTGCTAACGGTTTAGAAGGGAGTGAGGGGGGGAGGAGGCACGAGGGCGGAAAGTTGATATTCCATCAGAATTTCAACAATTCCATTCATTTGTTTTGAAACTGTATTCCTAGATCGTTGATGCTTAAACAAGCCAATCCACTTCCTCTTCAACGGTTATAGTTATGGTTATCTTCAGATGCAATACACCCGCAACAAAAAACATTTGGCCACTCATCCGAATGAACACAAAGCAGCTTAGAAAGGGCACTGACCTTGACACCCCATGCCAACCTATTTTTTGCCATTAATAAACCCGTATCCCCAACAGAAGAAAGAAAATATGAGGTATCATTTTTGTGACAAGGATTATTTTGGCAATTTTATTCGAACGATGTACAGTGCGATACAATTCACACTCCTTTACGTATATAATTCATATTTTTCGTGTGATAATTTCAATAAAAATAGAAAGGGAAACATAAAATGCGAAGTTATTTCATCAAGGTACAATTTGTAATAATCCCTGTCATTACTCCAATTGTCCCCATTTTTAAGCCCCTAACTTCTTCAACGCTCGCCTCCTCCTCCTTCTCCACCTCCTCCTCTCCTCAACCCCTCTCTACTCCTCCTCTCTGATTGTCCAATCTACCGATATCCCCAACCCGAATTGGTGGTCATCTAATTTCTGAAAAGCTGGTGTACTCCATCGGTCTTAAAGGCAGGTTGGACTTTTAAAGTAGCTTTACTGTTGGGTTTAGAGCTATTCCTACTGATAAGTACTCTAAGCTGTACAAAGTCTAACCACTATAAACCGGTTTGATTAAATTTCCCATCAGTTATTCAAGCCAACAACTTATTATTTCATCCATTTTTACATTTTCTCATCTTCGGAACAATGTAAATTAAATTTTTCTGCAGTGCCGTTGGATAAAAAAATAAATGCTATTAAGTGGTATATAAGTAGTATCGATATTTATTTATTTATATCAAATGGCAGGCATTTTAATAGTTATCATTAGCCCTTTAGTTGGCATTCAGGCTTCACAGAGGGGAAGGAACATCAAATTGAAAAAAAGTCGAGAGGAGAGAGGGTGGGGGGGGGGGGGGGGGGGNGGGGGGGGGTGGGGAACGGAAGAGTGATTCACAGATGTAAAAGAGACAGATAGACACAAAGGTAGAGAAAATGTGAGGTGAGTACTGTGAAAGTTGTTAAATACGACTGCTATTGCCGTATGAGTATACGTTGCCCAGGGTGCACCACGTGAAGATGAGTCCATCGCACACCTAGTATCGATAGTTTGAACATTCCGAAACATCATCTCTCCTTTATGAAGTGCCTTCATTACTTTAGCAAAAGCTAAAGAATAATTTAATTTAATTTAATATAGGTCATAAAACCCACGGTAACCGATGACCTGATTGTCAGAGTATGCCAAAATGGTCCAGGTTGAATTCATACTAGAATGGAAAGCACCTATCAATAGTTTAATTAACATCCGTTTGTAAAAGATTGTATTAGAAATAAATGTTCAAAAAAAAATATAAATGTAAATGATTAAAATCTTTCACTAAATTGTAATTGTTATTTAACGCAAAAATTGCGAAATTAGACAAAAAACAAAATGGAAATACTTTATTTCACAAAATTCGCAGACATTACCCTCTCAAAATAATAATATAATAATTACAATTGCCAGCTTGCGGGACAAAGACCAGTCTGTTTTTTTGATGTGGTATAACCGCACACCAACGCGTGGATTTGTCCTCGTCTGTGATTCGTTAAGAATGCAGTTAACGCACGAATAGTCTTGCAGTAGTACCTCCACCCGAGGGATATAAAGCCAGCTTATCAAAACGCAAATGTAGTGGCTTTACGCTAGTTTCCAAACGCTATTCCGCCTTCGTAGCACAGCGCATAATGGATGGTACCAGTTACATTTCGCCAATCCCCCAATGCACTAACTTGCATTCTTGGGCCACAGTAACAGTCCCTGTGAAACCGATTTCCTGTGGTAATGTAAGTATAACTGATGAGCTTGTCTCTCGTATAAAAGTGAATAATAATGTCTACCAAGGCTTTTCATACTTACAGTGTCCAACAAAAGGGCCCAAGTCAAGACGGTCGGGATGTTCTCATCAAAATCTCTGTCAGGAGCATCAAATACTTTTCCGCCTTGCAAATCTTATGCATCAAATGGATCTTAATCCCCGAACTGGTGAAGTTCGACCTCCGCCAAATGTTTACCCCTTTGGGAAGGGCAATGAAGACGAAGCACTCTGCTATAGTGATGAAGAGGACGGAAAGAGAGCGTGATGTGACGCTTTCGGGTAGCTAGTTTAGTTGGAATCTCAGGGTTTTGAATGTGACCTACTTACCTACCTCTTACCTGTTTGTACATTCGCCCCTCCCCACAAACGCAAACGTACTTACTCAAATATATCTTTTCTAGTATAAATAAAGGGGTATTATTACAAAAATATCTTGTCTTGTTGTCATTCGCTTAAATTGGGTGCTGAGTGCTGTCGAATATTCGTTATTACTTTGTCATTCAAAACGAGGCTTATTTTCTTTCGTTTCATTAAGCGGTATTTTATGCAGGGTATTGGAGGATAGGGAGGTGTATTGTATCTCCAAGCTCAGTGACATGACTGTCAACCATAATCGATATCTCCTGCCACTGATTGGAAGCCAATGAGATGGCGTTGGAGTACCATTTTGTACTTAACAATTTAATTTGAATTTGGGTTTGATGATGTTATAGCAGTGACAGTGCTCAAAATACACCTTATTTCGTGGGTGGGTGGGGGGGGGATTAAAATCCCTTTGACGCACGCCCTTTAATTGCATACTCGAGAAGATAACTCCGACGTCTGCATCCTATCCAAGGGAACATATAAAAAAAATTACAATGGTTCTGGATTGTAATAAGGCAATTAGAAGTAAACTGAGATTTGCTCAAGTTTTCGATAATACATTCGTTGATATTCAGAAATACTAAATGATGAGTGCCACTAAAAAATAACTTTTATGATATCTGCCAATGTGAAGAAAGTAATCAGGTCAAGTTACCGTTGGGAATATTCTTTCGTAAATGAAGATGCATCTCATGAAAAAAAACCGCATTAGTCTTGTATCTTTATCACTATATGACAGACTTGAGAAGTGCGATAGACTTACCTCCATGTGGTGCACCCAGGGCAACGTATACTCATACGACAAAAAAGTCTATTAACCGGCAGTTGACTTCTCACTTCAAACTACCATCACCTCACTCTATGCCATATTCGAATATTTTCACAGTACTCACCTCACCTTTGTTCTACCTTTGTGTCTGTCTCTTTTACATCTTTGAAACACTCTTCTGTTCCCCCACCCCCCTCTCGACTTTCTTTCACTTTGATATTCCTTCCCCTCTGTGACGCTCGAAGTCAACTAAAGGGCTAATGATAACTATCGAAACTCCTGCCATTTGAAATTAATAAATATGACAGACTTAACCAATGCGGTTGACTTTTCTGGTCACTAGATGCGGACCTATGAGAGGCGAAATCTGTGAAAAAAGATCAATGCGCAAAAAACCGTAAAGGTACGTTGACATCGACGCGGATTCAATATCATTTGCTCTGTTTTTTTTTGTTTTTGCTATTCATATCTTAATAATCATTTTACACCACATAAACTTGAAAAAAGT